TACTGTATTTCTCTCTCTCTATCCCTTTACCTACCTACTTGTCTACACACACTCTCTCTCTTCCTACCTACTGTATTTCTCTCTATGTCTATCTCTCTCTATTTCTCTCTATCTCTCTCTATCCCTTTATCTACCTACCTACCTACTACCTACCTAACTACTCTCTCTCCCTACCTACTTACTGTATTTCTCTCTCTTTCTCTCCCTCTCTATCTCTCGACTTACCGAATTTTTTTTAAAAAAATGCCTCTTCAAAACCTTGGTGCATCTTATACTCCGAAAAATATGGTAGTTGGTCAGGGAATTCATTTTTTTAAAATGTCCAACCCTCCACCTGTACATCTGTATTTAATTGAGACAAAGTGGGGGGGAAACCCTTGTCAGAATCCACCTGTGGATTCCTCTTGCAGTAGATTCATTTAAAGGTGAACTATTTGATTTTGATTTAAGAGGGATACATAAGAGAAATATTTTACCTTCTCGGGTGTGACTTAAATTCATGGGATGTTGAAGCTTTGCAAAGGAAAAAAAAACCAACGTAAGATGAAGATTATTATGAATCTGCATATGCAATCCTTGGAGATAGTTTGCTAGGAGTGACTGAAGGCATAATAATGTAGAACACTAATAGAGCTGAAACCGTGACAGCTATCTGAATTTTGCCGCTAAGTAGAACAGAGGTTTGCCAGGAAAGTAGAAATTATCATCAGAATCAATAGAAGGTCAGCTTGAAAGGCAATGTTAATGGGGAAATAATTTGTACTTTTAAAACCCAAGTGACCAATTATCATTATCACACCTACATTTCATGAGACATGGAGGTTTTTTTTTAATGTAACTGTATTGAATTTTTTTAAAAAACAAGGATAGAAATAAAGGAGCAAGAATTAAAAAAAGATTTGAAAAAAGGAAAAGACAAAAGCAAAGAAACGCGGAGAAAGAAAAGAAAAAGCAAAGAGAACAGAAAAAGAATGATTCCAAGTTTATTTGGTACAGATATACATAAACAATACATTAGACCCGTGATGGTGAACCTATGCCACGCAGAGCCCTCTCTGCAGGCATATGAGCTGTCACCCCAACTCAGCTCTGCCGCACATGCGCACGCACCAAACACCACCCAATTGGTTTTTGTGTGTCTGCCGTGCATGCATGGGGGTGGGGTGCATGTGGGAAATATGCACACATGCGTGCGGTGGGGCGCATGCACAGAAGCCATACACACGTGGGGGTGCATGTGGGGGGGTTGTGCGCATATGTGTTGGCTCATGCATGCATGCACACGGGCAGGTATTGTGCGGGGGGGTGTCTCACATGCATGCAGGGGCAGGGCACATGCACTGGGGCATGCGGCCCTCGGTGCCGAAAAGGTTAGACATCACATCACTGCATTAGACTCTTATTCGAAAGTTAATAATAATCTATATTGTTTCTACAATACCATATAATTCTAATCAGCAAATCCCAAAGTCAGGATTTCATTTCTCAGTTTCTTGAAAAAAGCCCAAAAGTGATTTTCAAATAAAAATAAAAGGGTCAAACTCTGTTCTTAAATCAAAGTTGTTAGACATGGCATCTTTCAAAGTCTCAGTTCTCCCTTTCTAGACTTCATTTTAATACTTTCTCTCATATATATTAAAATGTAGGATTTTTTTTCCCACGAGAAAACCAGAACAATCCACTGTAGACATTTATTTAAAAATCATCTTCATAGCGGAGGAATGCAAATTGCCCTACTCACATTGT